CTAGTTAATAACCTGAAGTAAATTCAATATATAATAAACAAATTTTTGCAGTTATCTACGATGTTATGTTGAGATGACTGGTCAGCACTCTGAAACTAAAACTAAATAAACCTAAACATTATAAAGACTCACCAAAATGTAAATAAAGGTAATGTTTACACATAAACAAGTATTAGGAAAAAAATTACAATTTTTCACATACGCTTGTATGCAATACACACAATTCTCAATAAAAATATTACAAACATTTATTAAAAATGATCACAAATTTTGACTAGATTAAACGATTAGACTTTTACAATGGCTACTATAAAAATTGTATTTAGCAAAAATTTTACAAAATAAAGAAATAATTTACTAGATACCTACAAGTACTTGTTTTACACATTTTTTTACTAATTGACTAACCTTAAAATTTACGTGATATGTTATGTGAACAGGTGGTCAGTTAATTGATATCGAACTGATAGTGGTCAGTGGTGACGATGGATTGTAATTACGGACATACTAGTTATCTAGAGATGGCCTAAAAAACGAACCGTCTGTCACGGACGAGAAATTCCAAAAAATTCCAAGGGCCGCAGTTATACTGTATAATAAATACTAACGTATATATTATTTCCCGTCTGCTGCGCCTTGTCCACCTTGTCGTCTGACTTCCATTGAATTCCAATTTCGAACTACCTATGTATTATCAATATAATAACTATTGTTGTATATGCTATTGTCCGTCTGCTGCACTTGTCTGCCTAGTCGTCCGATTTCCACTGAATTCCAATTTTGAACTACCCATATATTGTTAATATAATAACTACCGACGTATACGCCATTGCTGCCCGTCCGCTGCGGCGTGTTCACGATGCCATCGCGTGACAACAACCGTCCGATCCCCTGAAATATGTTGTGCGCTCAAATAACATAAAGTGTAATTTACCTGATATTTTTCTTTAACATTAAAAAAAAAAAACCCAGCACAGGGGGGTCGCGGCACAGTGGTGACGTGGCATAGTTGGATCAAGTATAATGATATCTGACAGTGATTAAAATCACTATAAAAAAAAAACGCTTCGATGCAAATCTTTAGAAAGTGTTTAATTTTAAAAAATTGGTGGATTATTCCAAAAGCTTCATAAACTGCTAGTTCCTTATTAATATCCTGATTAAGACAAAGTATGTCGAATAAAAAAGAGATTATTAGAAAATAGTATTTCCCATAAAAAAATTATATTGATCAATACACTTTTCAATAAGTTATAGCATTATAAAGTTAAAAATGTAAAAAATAAAATTGAGAATTTTCACACAATAATAGCATTTGGTAGCCATTTTCACCGTGAAGACAAAATAAAGTCCAAAATTTTTCATCAAATTTTTTCACGATAAAGTATATTACATTAGCTTTAATTTAAGATATATATAAAAGTGTCAGACCTTCCGGAACACTTTCAAAAGTTACGTTGAAAAAGTTCTACTTTCTATATGCATTTTTATGTTTTGAATCCCCCCTGCATTAAGGTAAATGGTCCGATTTAAAAAAAAAGTATGTCGAATAAAAGATCTATATAAATAATATTTCTCATAAAAAAATTGTAATGATCCATACATTTTTCAAAAAGTTATAGCATAATAAAGTTAAATATGTAAAATACAAAATCGAAAATTTTCACACAAAAATAGCATTCGGTAGCCATTTTCACCATGAAGATAAGATAAAGTCCGAAATTTTTTTTTTTCATGATAAAGCATATTACATTAGCTTTAATTTAAGATATATATAAAAGTGTCAGACCTTCCGGAACATTTTCAAAATTTAAGTTGAAAAAATTAATTTTTTGTGAAAAAGTTGTCATTTTAAATCCCCTCTTGTGGGCAGGTTAAGGGTTAAATTTATGAAAAAAATATATCAAATGAAAGGTAAAGACATCATGCATCTACAAAAAAAAGAATTATATTGATATGTTCATTTTTGAAAAAGTTATGGCACTTTTAAGTAAAAAAAATTGAAAAAATTTCGAAAATTAGCGATTTTTAAATTTGTAATTTTTTTGGAGGTTTCCCCCATTTACGGGTAACGAGGGAATTTTTTTCAATTTTTGAGGGTAATGTCTTCGACTAGATACAATTTTTGATCTTTTGACGTATCATTGAAAGAAATCGGTTCGGTGAGAGCTGAGAAAAAGTGGTAACAGACACAAAAAAAAAAAACACATCTTAGTAAAACCAATACCTTCTCAGCTTCGCATCGAAGCTAAAATTCATACTATTTTTAGGTCGTAATTGATTAAGAAGCTATTTGTTATAATTAAGTTCTATTGCATTAGTTCATATCCAAAACTAAAAAAATGTTGTTAAAAATTATTATATTTTAAATTTACACATATTTTGTTTGTTTTTTTGTATTAACTTACTCTATGCTTATGTGTCTTTGTTATGAGCATTTTTATGAATACTAAAAGTTGAACTACTTAGTGGCTTAAATAACAAAGAAAGTATTTTTTACAAAATACTCACATATAATATTTTAAACCTGTTGTATCAGTATCGAATGGAAATTTAACTTTGTTGTATCCCTAATAACATTACCTTTCAGCTTTATAAATAAATAACACCTTTAAGTTCTAAAAGATTCAAGAAAAACTTTTTTCGTTGAATACTACTTAGGGGTATGTCCACCGCTGTCAGCAATAACCCAAAAAGTAATAAGACTAAGGGTACTCAACTATTACCAGCACAAATTATTTGTTAAGTTTCTACCAAGGACGTGTCGTATAGAGACCCAGCCGTGTTTTGATAAGAAATATCTTATACCTTTATTTAGAATAATAGAAATTAAATTAAAGTTTTAATTTTCTGTCTGCAGCTATTGCTAGTAATACTCGTATAGAGTCATACTTACACAGCTACAGATTCTTTTATGTTTAAAAGGATTTAATGTATATTTTAGTGTTTTGTCAAATCTCTCATTCGGATCATAATTTAACTTCTATTCAAGATTTTTTGTAACTTGCCTCTTTATCTGACAGAAGACATGAAGCTAACATTCGTTAACTTCCCAAAATTATATGTGGTGTGATTGATTCCCATGTACTCCTTTCTAAATTAAATTTTGTATCCTTGTGCGTACAACTTGTAAAACTGCTCCTTTTCATATCCACTCATTTAAAGAGCAAACTATATTAAAAGTCCTTAGTGATAAGAGTCCAATATTGAAATAATTATTTTATTTTATAGTGATGAACAAATGGTTGATAAATATCGCCTTAATAAATATAATTTTTGATCATTTTTACTTGTTTTTTATTCGTTACAAAATCATAGAGATTACATAAATAATATATTAAGTATAAAAAAACCCAGCACAGGGGGGTCGCGGCACAGTGGTGACGTGGCATAGTTGGATCAAGTATAATGATATCTGACAGTGATTAAAATCACTATCAAAAAAAAACGCTTCGATGCAAATCTTTAGATAGTGTTTAATTTTAAAAAATTGGTGGATTATTCCAAAAGCTTCATAAACTGCTAGTTCCTTATTAATATCCTGATTAAGACAAAGTATGTAGAATAAAAAAGAGATTATTAGAAAATAGTATTTCCCATAAAAAAATTATATTGATCAATACACTTTTCAATAAGTTATAGCATTATAATGTTAAAAATGTAAAAAATAAAATTGAGAATTTTCACACAATAATAGCATTTGGTAGCCATTTTCACCTTGAAGATAAAATAAAGTCCGAAATTTTTTTTTTCCATGATAAAGTATATTACATTAGCTTTAATTTAAGATATATATAAAAGTGTCAGACTTTCCGGAACACTTTCAAAATTTAAGTTGAAAAAGTCAATTTTTTGTGAAAAAGTTGTCATTTTGAATCCCCCCCTGTAGGCAGGTAAAAAGTCAGATTTATAAAAAAAATATACCAAATGATAGGTAAAGACATCATGCATCTACAAAAAAAAGAATTATATTGATCCATACATCTTTCGAGAAGTTATAGCATTATAAAGTTAAAAATATAAAAAAGAATTTTTTTACAAAAATCGTATTTTTTTTATTAAGTTTAATGTCTGTTTTCACCATGAAGATAAAATAAAGTCCGAAATTTTTTTTTACCATTATAAAGTATATTACATTAGCTTTAATTTAAGATATATATAAAAGTGTCAGACCTTCCGGAACATTTTCAAAATTTAAGTTAAAAAAATTAATTTTTTGTGAAAAAGTTGTCATTTTAAATCCCCCCTTGTGGGCAGGTTAAGGGTTAAATTTATGAAAAAAATATACCAAATGAAAGGTAATGATATTATGCATCTATATAAAAAAGAATTATATTGATATGTTCATTTTTGAAAAAGTTATGGCACTTTTAAGTAAAAAAAATTGAAAAAATTTCGAAAATTAGCGATTTTTAAATTTGTAATTTTTTTGGAGGTTTCCCCCTTTTACGGGGAACGAGGGAATTTTTTTCAATTTTTAAGGGTAATGTCTTCGACTAGATACGATTTGTGATCTTTTGACGTATCATTGAAAGAAATCGGTTCGGTCAGAGCTGAGAAAAAGTGGTAACAGAAAAAAAAAAAAAAAAAAAAACACATCTTAGTAAAACCAATACCTTCTCAGCTTCGCATCGAAGCTAAAATGATTTGTCATACTTTTATGCTATAATGCACTTTTAAGAATACTACATTAGTTTTACAACTCCGGTTTTCATTTAACACGAATAAATCTTTCGCCTATTTTAGGATTATAAAATAATTTTATAAAACTTGGTTTTTTTTTTTGATAGGGTAGAGAATATTTTCATTAATAAATGTTGAGTAATTATATATTACAGAAATTTATTTTGGCACGGTTATAGTCATGAATTTCATAAAAAAATTGTATACTTATTTTGAAATAAATTAAGTTTATACACTATTTCATTAAATTTGAATAATTAATCTAATAATATTTACTACAACTTTTTTGTAATTGTTTTGTTGATCGATAAATATTATTTTATGAGACGCAAAATGTATTCCTAAATGACTAATTTTTTTCTTTCACACATTATAATTGAATATTATGATATTGATTTACAAAATTACTAAATTCAACAAGCTATGTGATGATTATTATTTTGTTATTTCTAGTAAAAATACTCGGTATTTATTTCTTTATTAGCTTTTTAAAACGTATTGAATACTAACTGGACTAATACCCTATCAATGGTGTAAGTGTACGCTTTTATTTAAACTTTTGTTTCAGTTCATTACTCATTAAATAGAGTTCTACTCTGAATATTTATACTTAATTTTTATTTTTTAGTTAACATTATACTGAATTATTGTTTTATTATGTACATATTAATTTTAAGTTTACTGATTTAGGTGATAATTAAATATTATTTTTTTTAATACTTTTTTTAATTTCTTCCATCAAAATTAGCTAAAATATTAGTTAACTAACTTTTTATTATTTTTAATTATTTTAATAAATTTGTTTTTAAATTTATATTCTAATTAAAACATAATTTGCTTATTTTTTAATTTTTTTTCTTCGATTTGAATCAATATAAATTTAATGAGATTGTTCTACTAGCTTCTTTTTTGTTAATAGCGAAATAATTGAATATGTTACATTCATTACCTGAAATGTATATTTGGTTTAAATTTTTTTGATAAATGTATTTATAAGTAAAATTTGAAAAGTTTATCTACTTTGGCAAACATTTCTATATTGACAAACTTTGTTGGCGTCAACCGCATGACTATATTACAACCATTATTCATACTAAAAGCCATAAGCAACATTTTTTTTAACTCCATGTTTTGATTGGTCCAATTACAACTATAAATCGCGTAAATCATAGAATTCCTCTAAAAAATCATAATATATAATATATAATATCTAAATAATAATAATATAATATATATTATCTAATAAATTATTCACTTAAAACTGAATAATTAAATTTTTATTAAAGGAAGTAAAAGTACATCTAAATAAAAACTATTCGAATTTTAAAATAATATAATTTTAGAAAAAGTTAAAATGTCAGATAATCGGATATGGTCGTCTTTTTAAAAATATGATGATCTCGTTACACTCTCGATTAAAAATTAAAACCTTAACTTAAAGACGATGTTGCAGCTGAAATTTTGTATTTTAATAAAATGTCGGTTTGATGAAAACACTTAATGGAAAAGTTAAAATAAATAAATATTTAAGTAAATTTCTTTTTATAAATACAAAAAAAAAATTTAATCTTAAGTTTATAACTTCTAAAAAAATTCACACACTTTAAAATTTTTTTTTTAACAATAAATATTTAATAGTAGAAATATATTGAAATNGTAAATTTCTTTTTATAAATACAAAAAAAAAATTTAATCTTAAGTTTATAACTTCTAAAAAAATTCACACACTTTAAAATTTTTTTTTTAACAATAAATATTTAATAGTAGAAATATATTGAAAAAATGAATAGATAAGTTTTGAAAGAAAATTTGTAGAAAACTATATTTATTTTAATTTTTTTTACAATTTCTTAATTTTTGGGGGGTTTAATTAATTTTTTTTATAGATTAGACCTCCCAAAATATCTTTAATTCAGTTAATAATAACTTAATTAAATTATAAGTTTGTTTTTCTTATATTTTATATAAACTTTAATTAAATGTATGTACCTCATTTTCTAAATAATCAAAAAAATATCCTGAGATGTATAAATGCATCATTATTGCCAATGAACTACATACGAACTTTAAAAAAATCAGTGACAACAACATTCCACTTTTGAAATAAAACTGTTGAAAATTTCAATATTAACATTTAAGAAAATTGTTTAAGTTTAGTTAATTTAATTTGTTTTTTCTAAATTGTATAAGTCAATAAGGCATTTATTACCATAAATAAATCATACAAAATAATAAAAAATTTTAATTTTGTTTTGATTTACTTTATTTGCTATAAAAAAAATGATAAAGAATTCATATAGATTTACCATATCGAGTAATCAAGATGATTAGTATTAACCATGAATAAACCTGAATTATAAAACCATTAACCATTAATCTAAATTATCATTAAGTCCTTTAAATTATCTATTTCATAGATCCATCATAGGTTGTATGATAAAATGGATCCATTATATGATTTATTTTGGTATATTTCATTTAAATTTTGCAATACTTTAACTTTAAAATTAAATATATATAGTCTCACCAAAACACATAAAAAAGTTAATGCAATATAAACATTAGACATTATTCCCATTTGAACTATTGTAATAGGCTTGAATAATTCATAAAAATTTTTAATTTTCCTACAACAATATCATATAAAAATTAGTTTAAATAATGAACGATGCCATTTCTTCTGAATAATAATAAAATAAAAATAAATCAGGATGTTTAGAGGTTAGTTGGGACTGGTAGTTTTAGACATAACTGCTTGTGTTCGCCACCGGACTCCTAATATACGGTTGGTCCGTATGACTAATAGTAGCGCACCGACAAATCACAATAATTGGTTTTAATCAATAACAAGGGAAAAAACAATAAAAGGAAAAAGCTACCATTCGTACAATTACTATATTTTTAATAATACAATTTTAGTATAATAACTGAATATGGACGTCCGCAACAGAGTACAAATATGTTAACAAGAGAAAAAACAATCAAATATAAATGAACTATAAATTTACATACAATGAAACGATATGCTCCAACCAAGTCATTCCACGGATTCGATGATTACATAGGGTACAGCTTCCAAGTTGATTAATGAAGTAATCACGGACCAAATGATGCGTTCTTGTAAAGATGTTATTTGAGATGAACAGTTGAAAGATTCGCAACAAAAATGGCTTAGGGCCGTGGAAAAAAACACAAACAAAATTAACCACCGTTCTATTACTGGCTACGAGTCAGCACAAATTCCACGGAACGGCTTATTGATGGTACACAAAACGTGCGTATTACGTAATAAATAAACCACACCAGATCACTGACCAACGAGTTCGAAAACTTAACGGTATGGCAACACTCCAAACACGTCCACGGACGTACTAACTTAGGTGCCGGTAGTGCCGGACACGTTCAATGTTGTCCACTCCGCTGGTCAGCCATACTCACGGACCGGTTTACCCCCGCCTCAAGCCTTTTCGAGTACTCTACATAATACCCGGCTCGGACGAGGAGATAAGCCGGCCATCAGCTGACTACTTTGGTGCTGCCCAACTTGCTCCAACAGCTTGCTAACAGCAAATAGGCCCCCTTAACCAAGCCATACCAAGTAAAAGGGTTGTTTATTTGTCACAAGGTAGTTAACCGAAAGGTAAAGTGACCATTTAGCCTAATAGCATAATCGAGCTTTGTTTAAATGGACATATATTTCACGACAACTCATGGAAACTACATAAAAGAATTGGAAAACCACAAAACAACAAACTTGCAAAGGACAGGTATTCTAAAAACAAACTTTTGGCAAAAAAAGGTGAATTGACGGCTCTTCGCAAAAAAATCGTTCAAATTAAAATCTTCGATGTGAACAACGCAATTTTTAGTGAATTGTCTACTAGCAAAGAGGCGGTGTCAGCAGATGTACACCAGAAGTTACTAGACCGACTAAGAGCAGTTGCTGAAAAGATCGAAGTTCTTAAATTTAATTCTATGAACCTTAGCGGTGGACTGTATGAGAATATTATACAATTCAAGCAGATAAATTTGCATTTGAATAAAAATACCAGCAGTGTATTGCTAAGGAATCTAACTGAGAGGCATGTAACAATTTTACAAACAACACTTATTCAGGAACCATGGTTACATGATAATTAGAGGAGCTAAACTTAAGGTGCTTTAAACTGTCTTACAAAAAATCAGCAAATCCAGGTCTTGTATTTTGGTTAATGATAAAATAAAAACCATTTTGTTATCTAATTTGCCAAGCGTAAACCTAATAATTATTTTGGGTACATTAAGTGATGGTAAAAATATTATACGAGGCTGACCTTTCACATGACCTGGAAAACCTACACTTTATATTAGGATCGAAACAAAGCTGTAAAAGGGNAACCTACACTTTATATTAGGATCGAAACAAAGCAGTAAAAGGGCTGTAACTGACTTTCATAATTACATCGTTTCGGCATAAAAGAAAAACTGTTCTTTAATAAAAAAGAAAGTTATAGGACAGGACTAGGCGAAACGCTAACCTATCAAAATTATAATAGAGTTCTCGTAAAATCTTAAACAGAGTATTGAAATTAGGTTTGGAATAATATTAGGAGTCATATAGGGTTTCTCGAAGTCAATACAAATCTGACCTAACGGGGGAGGCCACACCACGTTGTGAATCAGCTCTTGATTAACTTCGGGCTGATTCACAACGTGGTAGTGTGATTTATAGACGGCGTGGGCCGCCCCGAAGTAATGCCTAACGGCAGTTCCAGGGCGGTCCACACTATGCCGGTTGTTGAAAAAAAAAAAAAATAATACAAATCTGACCAATAAAGTCCAAAAAAGAGAGATGAAAAAAGTTCTGTGGGAATCACAACAACTCTCCACAGCTATTAGACTTCTATGCTTACTAAGAAATTAATAGAACAAAACCATCGAAGCAACATTATTATTAAACGATACGTTTATAAACATTGATAATTGATAAACATTTGATAAACCCAAGTGACATAAGATGAGCAATAAATGGTTTTGGCGGTTTTAGAGTTGCTAAATTTTATGCAGTAGNCTGTCAAAATTAAGATAGAGTTCTCGTAAATTCTTAAACAAACTATTGAAATCGGGTTTGGAACAATATTAGGAGTCATATAGGGAATCTCAAAGTCAATACTAATCTAACCAATAAAGTCAAAAAAAGAGAGATGGAAAAAATTTCTATAGGAAATCACAAAAACTACGTACAGCTATTATTATCAGCTATTATTATACTTAAAGAACGCTCTTGATGTCAGCATTTTCTCTTTATAAACTGCACATAAAAACAACATTAGAAAAAGTATTAATGAAGTCCGTAAAGCCTGATAATAGCGTTATGTATTCGTAATAAATGTAAAAAAAAATTCAAAAATTTATGTGGGAGTTAAACTGCATTTGTTCCTTCATGGAAAACGGTTATCAAAATCATAACCGAAAAAATTACAAAAATCCTTTATAAAAAATAATAAATATATAAACAAATAAAATAATAAAAATAAAAAATTATGATTTGAGGATGTTTAGTGGTTTTTTTTATTACATATACTACTTAATATTTCATTATCATTTTCAAAATATATAAGTTTCATATAAAATTCTAAAAAATTTAAAAACATTCAATAATTAGTCAATGATACGTCTCCAATTTACTCCATGAAACTTAATGTAAGATGAATTTATATAAAAGAAAAAGTATTTCAAAGTTATTATCAAAAATTACAACTTACTTAATAATGTGTATGTGATTTATAATTACATTCCTTAAATTTTCGACAGAATTGTTGTTATTTTCTTCTTCTTCAAATAAAATATTAATTTATTCAATATGAAAAATTGATAATTATATATTTACCATTATTTGTATGTTGATAGCCAAAAGTTTCATACTTAGAAGCAATCATTTTGAATTGTGCAGATAACATCCAGCATAGCTCAATTACGGTAATATCATATAGTAAAATGTCTAAAACTGCACTCACAAGAACAGCTGATTCTATTAAATAAATTAATATGTACATTTTTTCGTAATGTTCATACGACATAACAGAAAAAAATATTTGGAGAGGAGAATTTCTATAAATCACAAAATTGCCTTGTCGATTTTCTACAGTAATCTCTTTCATCATTAAAGGATTTAAAATCCATATAATAAGAGATATGAACCATATCGTCGCGTAAATATTTATCACTACTATGCATTTTTTCTTATAATGCTGAAATATATCTTTTCTGTAACAATTATGTGATAAAAAATCATCTCTCATCACATCAAATAACTTCCAGAGTTCATCAAATTTCCGCGTAAATCTTATAGTTTTGAAAATTCTATTAAAAGCACAAAAGAATGATAATGATATTTGAAAAAGTGCGTACAAATCATTATATACGAAGAAAAACCCAATAAAACAGCTTATAAATACTATTAAATCGAGAAACGAAAGAAATGGATTAATAGCATAATAGTTTATGTTGTATTTTCCAATTTTTAAGCCAGGTTTGTTTTTTGGATAAAATATATGATACATTTTGTAAATCTTTATTAAGTGATAGTTAATGATATAGTTTTTTTCTTCTTGGTTATCCATTTTTTAGAATTCAAGTAGAACTCAATTTAAATAATCTTAGTGAAATGTTATTTTTATCGTATTGAATTTAATAAATAACCAGAAATCTTAAAATTTCTTCATTTTGTAATCTTAATTAGTTGATCTAAAAAATAATAAATAATTCACTATAAATTTATACAGCTATTCTTATATTATACATTTTTGCAATAACTAATTAAATAATGAAATATTAAGAGATTATATTCAAATAACACATAAGAATCAAAAGTTAGAATCATTGGTACTCTTTGGAAACGTTTTTTATATTGTTATTTTCAAATGATTAATCCTATTCCAATGAATACGATAACTTTCTTTTTCTAGATTGATCTCAGACTTATCAATTGAATTACTGGATTTATCATATTGATTTAGTGTATATATTAATATTAAACAAAACACCAAAGTAATTTTAGAATATTTAAGATAACACATACTGTAGATTAAAAATGTAGGTTTACTTTTATTCGAATAGTACAAATGTTAAATGAAATAAATTTCACTAGCTGGCATAGCAATTCACACAATATAGCTGTAAAAATATTATGTAAGATTTAGTTAGCGATTCAGTTGAACTACGCCACCTATTGTCATTGTGTGTTCTTTATAATGTATACTTTTTTATTACAAATAAACTTTAACATCTTATTATAAAATAACTTATTCCATCCATCAGATTATAATCCAAGTACCAGTATGAAAATGTTAAGTGCGTTTGCGTAGTAAGTGCATCGATTGTGTTAAATTTTGTATTATATTCTTTATGTGCAGACAGTGTTCAGGAAATTTGTTATTTTGGAAAACAAATCTATAAAAATTAACAAACTATACTATGTTTAATGTAATTAAACATACCATGAGTATCATTAGAGAATCAACTATCACATTCACACCTAACGACCCTACTGCTGTAGGCAATACTGAATACAAACGGCAGATAAGACTAGCAGGAAACCACTTGTTACTGGTGGAACACTTATTATCTTATTTTCTTTTATTACTCAAATATATTTTCATTTTTTATGTTTGATTAATTATTGAGTTTTTACTGATATTAAATAGTTTTAAGCTTAAATTTTTAATATACTGATTTAAACAATGATAATCTTATTTAAGTACAATGTCGTATCACTTGCATATTAAAACTATTAATTATTTTTGTAAAAAAAGGACATTTAAATGTGTCTCAGAAAACAGTTCCACATATTCTATAAACTGATAATTAAACATTATGGCTTTTAATATTAACTCTTTTTAAAACCTTGGATAATTATATATAATTTAATCACAGAATAGATTTAATAATTTATGTTTTTTTATGCAAATAACTATTTGTGTTTCCCCCTTTTTTTAATCCAGAGGTCAAAAAAATAAATTATTGTATATATATTAGAATTATATTTTTAAAAATAAAATACAGAGAGCTCACTGAAATGTTCTGAAATCTTTAATAAATTTTAAACCTACAAATATTTTGAACTAATTTTTTTTAACTATGTTGTATAGTTGAGAAGATATTAATAAGGTATTACTATGATATGTAGGTTTTTTATTTTTATGCCTGTCGCCACTTTTTTAACTTACCTTTTAAAAATGTTTCGGAAATGTTGTGTCCTTAAATACTTGTTAAATTAAAACTTATATTACAAGTAAGTTAAAAGTAAACATTGGTCTAGATGATTTATCTTTTATATGCAAACGGTCCTCGAAGCTAAACAAAAAATATTATTTTGCTGTAAAAAATCATTGTGTTTCAAAGTTTTTAAATTTTTTTTTCTATTAACTTGTGTACATTTTAAGATAAACGGTATAATAGAATGGTGGGACAGTGTTGGTACCCCCTTTAATCCCCTTTTAAAGAACAATTCTAAAGAAAGCTTATAATATCTATTCAATAAGTATACAGGGTGATTTTTTTATCATAACCCACTCAATTACTTACATAATAATAATAATTTAAAATTTTTTTTTTATTACTATCTTTAGTTACGCATTATTCTTGAATTATTAACTATGTAATACTTTTTAAGTTCAACCCTTATGCCTGGTAAGGGTATCAACTATGTTTTTTTAAATGGGATCGCATATTTTATATTTAATAAAATGTTTGAGTTTTTAATAAATTAGTAAATAGCATTTGAATTTTTAATATAACTTTATTTGTTTATTAGATATAAACATTTAAAGTTTCAAATTTTTGAGTTAATATACTTATATAATACAAAAGAGATTACAAATACAGGTAGCCAATTGGTTTTTTATGACATCGATATTAGTAGGTACACAATATTGTTATTATCAATGGTAGTAAGGTACATTGTTGTGAGTTTATAAATGCACTAACTGACAATACAAAAAGTATATCTATTGATAGTCATAATTGATAATAAACAATCCGCGACTGTG